TGATGCCCACCCAGACTTACAAATTGCCGTCTATTGGACAAATAACTTTTTATCCATTTCAGCACCAAACCTCTAATACCATACCTTTCCAATTTATCAAGTAAAATAGTATCAAAAGCCTTTTGAAAATCAATAAAAATCCCCAATGTGTGTTTCTTGTTGTCCCAGGCACTGGTAACACCTTCTACAAATTCAGTAATTGCAAGCGCTGTAGATCTATTAGATCTAAAACCATACTGCTTTTCAGTTAAAATTTTATGTTTGTCCAAAAATTTATCTAATCTAGCATTAAAGAGTTTTTCTAAGATTTTAGAGAATTGCGATAATAAAGAAATTGGTCTATAATTTGTAATATTATGCCTATCTCCACATTTATATAACGGAATAACCTTTGCTGTTTTCATACAATTGGGAAATTTTCCTGTTTGGAAGGACAAATTGGAAATATAAGTTAATGGCTTGGAAAAACCCTCAATTACCGATTTAATGATGGTCATGTTTATTCCCTCACTATCAGTCGAACTCTTATTATTACATTTATTAATTATACATCTAACCTCCTTTTCTTCTATTGGTTTAAGGAACATGGAATGCTGATTTTTTTCAATAAAATGAACAATAGTGCCACAGGACACCTCGTTACCACAAATGTTTTTTGCTAATTCAGGCCCAACATTAACAAAGAAATCATTGAATTTATTTACTATATCGTCCATTTTATTAACCAACTTATCACCATCCAAAATATAATGAGGATAATTCTCCTTACCATGATTATTTCTAATTACCCTATTTAATATGTTCCAAATACCTCTCATGTTGTTTTTATTATTGTCTAATAATTTATTATAGTATTGTTTCTTACAAGTCCTCAATACATTAGTCAATCTATTCTTATATTTCTTGTATTTTAGTTCAGCTTCCTTTGTTCTATCTTTCATCCATTCTCTATATAAAAAATTCTTTTTTTTTACATGCATTTTATAGCCCCTTGGTCAACCAAGGTTTTACCTCCAAGTTCTTCTTTACTTTAATCAATTTGTTTGGGCAGTTTTTGTCATACAACACTTTGAATATAACTAAAAAGTGCTCATAAGCTTTATCCAAATCTTTTTCTCTATATATCAAATCCCAATTCTGTCTCAAAAGGTCCTCCTTGAATGACCTTTTAGTTTCATCATTTATCCACCTTGTATAAGCATGTGTGGTCATTGTTTTTTTTTTCTTAAGGTGGCAATCATACACTAAAAATACTGGTAAGTGATCACTAATGTCATTGATCAGAAGTCCACTTACTATATTGTTATCTATATCATTTGTAAATATATTGTCAATCAGCGTTGCACTATCTGTGGTTATTCTACTAGGTCTTGTGATAATGGGAAACAGACTACAACTATATAGTACATCAATAAATGCATCAATATCCATCTTTTTATTGGGATTTAATAAATCGATATTGTAGTCGCCACATAAAAACATTACCTTATTACTTAAGATTGAATAATTTTTCTCAACCCACTCACTAAATGTATCAATACTCGAGCCAGGTGCTCTGTAGATACAACTCACTAAAATATTTTTCTTGTTTTCCATTAATATTTCTATTGTAACACATTCCAATAAATTATCCACCACTATTGACAAACAATCTATTATTTTATAGATACCAAAGGATAAAACACTCTGTTCTGGAGAATCAGTCAATCTTAATGGCAGTGAATTGCAATTTAAGTCA